TGTTTGTTGTATAAAACTAATACTTTTTACTTCTGAGAGACTTTGATATTACTGTTGAAATTTAATGAAAATAAACTAAGAATAAACTCAGATTTTTATATAACTGACCAACTTTTAAATAAGTAAATTGTAGTAAAAATAAATAAATACTAATTCCTATTTATTATCATTTTAAATGATACGTACAATTCTCATAAATGGAATTTATTATTAATCTTTCTACATGAAAGATAAAATTTATATAGATAAGATTCATCACTTATCAACTTCCTTTATAGTATATCATTCAAATTAACTAAAATTGTAATAAAAGAAAAATATTAAATCTTGTTTAATAAATCTTTTAACTAATTCCTTTTCCCCTGTACTCATTTCAGATCTCTAATTCTTGTTTATGTATCTAATTTTCAAGATATGAAGCATGTCTACAGTTACTTGCTTCATGTTATTAATGGTTTAAATAATTAATGAAATAAAAATGAAAATGCGAGTAATTATTCTGCTAGTTAGTGGTTTTAGCTTATATATATAAAACTTGTACAGCTGCATAGGATTAATCAAAAAATAAATGCAGAGAAGTTTATCTGCTAAAATGTGGGTCTGTTCTTTTTTTAAATTTGTTAATTGCCAATCAGGGCTAAGTATTTCAACTACCAGTATTTCTATCTTCACAAAGTTCAATCAGCTCTGCAAAGATGAAAAGAATCAGAAGAACTTTAGCAAGCTGCAATTGCAGTTGCACCATTGACTAACAACGTTTGAGGGATGAACTTTAGCCAGCTTTACAATCACTAGAAAGACAGTAGTAGATGAACAATCAATCACCCAGCAGATCTATGCACATGTAGAAAACAACTTACCCTAATGATCGTCTGCAACCTGTTATATGTGATCATTGAGGAGTATTCATTGATAATCAATTTTTTCTTCATACAGTTAGATTTCAAGCCTTTTTCTTCATTCAAAATCTTGATAATCAATGTATATCTCTCTTCAAACGTAATAAATTAAAGGTTTATGGAACAAAAAAAATCTTTGCTTCTTCATTGAATACATATGTTAGCTGTTAATCTACAGGTATAATCTGTCAACAAGTGAAAAAAGAAAAAAAGAAAAAAAAACCTTCAGAAGCCACAAATTCGTGACTGTTGCCTACTTTGCTCTACATGAAAACTTGAGATTGGTAGGCAGTGCCCAATAGCCATAGACATAATCAATGCTATCTCTACATCCTTTGCTACATTTCTTTTAATCAAATAGATGATATACTCTAGGAAGACTTCATCACATGGCAATGTGATTGGCCCATCACTTGGTAGTCCAAACTCTTCCTTTGACATTTGAAAGAGTTCTCTGATGAGAGGATAGTTGAGATATGCTATAGGGAAGACAAAACGCGTCTGATCTGCCGAGTATACAACAAAATGGCCTTTATCTGCCACTGCTAGCATGTTGCTGCCTTTGCTCTCTCTTGGCAGTGAAATTCTATTTCTCTTGAGGACTGCTATTCTCTGCCACTTCCTTGCCATTTTGATGAGTTTCTTTGTGCTGATCATTGTGCCGTAAGCGAGTGAGAGCCTCAAAAGAAGGGTGTAATAGTTGGGTACTTGAATGTAATTGTTGATCTGATGCAGAATACAAGAAGTTGGGTGAGTTATATACCATAAAGCAAGTGAGACATTTTCTGCAATGTGGGCTAGACTGTGAAAGAGTTAAGGGTACAAAACCATATGATTAGGTACTTATTGCAATTGGGACCCAAGGCTGATCAGTGTTGTGTGATAGTTCCTGAGTTTTGAGGACAGAAACAGAGCATTGCATGATCAAATGGCAAGAACCATCTTCTTTGAGATTTATAAATCTGTAATTCTTTAAAGAATTGGCTGAGAGAGATTTTGCAAATCTAAGCATGTGCTAGACATAGCATGTTGGTGCCCAAAATCTTCTTCACCAACCAGCAAACAAGAGAAAGGTTATTGTAGTCCAAACCTGTAATATAGCTATTAAGTTTCTCAACAGAAACCATAAGGCTCGCCCAATTCAATCTCGAATCTGAATGCATTATCTGCAAGCTGTAGCCACTGCTAGGTTCTGCTTCACATTTTCATGCTTCCCAACTATCAAATTTATGGGTCCCCAGTCAACGGATAACCACATAAGCCCATGTGAAGATGAAAGACGATTCTTCATCAAATTTTTACCTACCACAAGATGCAAAACCACAAAAATATGAATGCATCTAATACTGTGACTATCAAAAGACTGGTCCACGTCCAGTAATCACATGCTTATGTACTCATGAATCCCACCAAAGTATGGCCCACATGAATAGAAATGTCTTGCTGGTCTCAAGGTATATAACACATCTAATTCCAATGCATTCTGCATCAGGTCAACAATTTCATTCCAATACTCAACCAAGCAAGCAACTAATCTCTTTGTTTTCTTGCTCAAGACAGAATGATCAACACAAGAAAACTCTTCAAGATGGCAAAGAAGTGGCAGAGGGTAGCAGCCCTCCGAAGGAAAAGGATTTCTTTACCAAGATCCAGTAGAGATGCAAACCAGAATGCTAGCAATGCAACATCTGTAGCAGATAAGGGCCACTTTGTTGTTTACACCGCTGATAAAATGCGCTTTTTATTTCCTATCGCATATCTCAATAATCCCATTGTTAGAGAACTCTTCAAAATGTCAGAGGAAGAGTTTGGACTACCAAGTGATGGACCAATCATGTTGCCTTGTGATGCAGTCTTCATGGAGTATGTAGTTTCTTTGATCCAACAACGTGCTGATAAAACTACAGAGAAAGCCCTCTTAATGTCGATGGCTACTAGTAGATGCTTGAACTCTTATTCTCTGCATCATGGACAGAGTAGCCAACAGTTACTAATCTGTAGTTTATGAATAAAACAGAGAAAAGATTTTGTAAATGACCTACACGTTTATATTGTTAGTCAATAGCACTCCCTTTGATTGAATTTGACTGTTTGGATAAATTTTTTTCTCTTTAGTTTTGAAGATTTCTTTTCTTATAAAATTATAATTATCTATCAGTTGAGTTGGCTGGATCTACTTATAATTTATCTCTTCCTCTGAAAAAAAAAAAAAAAGTAAAGGAAAATTTAGAAATGCTCTCAAGTACTATAATTTAGTTTATTAATTTTTTTTCGTACTTTCAAATTACTAAGAACATTTGGTGGTATGTTGAATAGACGTATATAAATATATTTCACGGTAAACTAAATGGTAAATTAAATAAATAATAAGTCAGTTAATATATATATATATATGTAGTTAATTAATTTATAAGAAAAAAAGTTGGCAAACATTTTTTTCTAATGTAAGTAAATGTCTTTCGGTAACTAAAGAAACCTATCAAAGCATTCATGTCAATACTTATTATAGAACTTATGTTATCTTTATCTGAACTTTTTTGTATTTCTGATTATAAAATCATTCTTTACCTTAAATGAAGTTTACTCAACAATTCAGTTAAAAAAAAAACAGAGAAAATAAATTTCTTTAAATTTTATAATAGAAAAGATCATGACTCTTAGTATTACTGGAGACAAATAAAAATATAAAAGAATCTAGTAACAATCAAGATATATATTACTGTATCTACTACAAAACAACTCAACACTCCCTAGAGAGGTGCTATAAAGATAACCCAAACAAACAAATCTGCTTGCGCTATAATATGACAGGATACAGTATGGTTGCCTGTTATAAGATATATGGACATCCTAAAAGGCACAAGAATCATGGAAAAGGGGAACCCTCTGGTGTCAACCAAGATAGCCAGAAATTGACTACAATCACTCAAGCACAATACATACATACAACTCATGGCAATACTGCAACTAATGACTTTTCCAAGGTAGCCCAAGGCATCACAAGCACAGAAATAAATCCAACAGGATTCTCTTGTATGCATACTTAGTCTTTTTGCTCATTTCATGGAGATAGACAGATATAATGAATTATCTTAGATCATACACACTGGAGCTAATCATGTTGTATGTTCATCTTCTCTGTTTATTGGAGTTGTAGGATGAAAGTCTCACACACTAGTACAGTAAAGATTGGTGATGCATTAACGTTATACAATGCGTTGTGCATGTCTTGCTTCAAATTTAATTTAATTTCAGTAAGAAAGTTAACTAAAGATTTGAAATGTCATCTCTTATTCTCATTATGATCTTCCATCATACAGAACCTTTTGACCTCGAAGACAATTGGAGTAGGTAGATTGGAGGATGGCCTGTATCAAATAAAGTTAGATAACGATACAAGCTCTTGTAAAAATTTATCATCAGCTTTACATTTCACTTTAAATACAAAAAATAATTTTGATGTTTGGCACTATAGAATAGAACGTAATTCACTATCTGTTTCAGAATTTATTCCAGGCACTTCAAAGAATAAAGAATGTGGATCTTGTTATATATGCCTTTTGGCCGAAATGTGTAAGGGCATGTTTTCAATTAGTCAATATAAATCAAATTTATTCCTTGAGTTGATACATTGTGACATTTGGAACACATGCAATGAAACTTCTTATGATGGGTATCGGTGTTTTCTTTCCTTTTTGGATTATTATAGCCAATGTGTATGGATATACCTGCTTAACTCTAAATCAGAGACAGGTCACACCCTGCAAAGTTTTTGTGCTCTTGTAGAAACCCAATTTAAAACTAAGATCAAGATTATATGGAGTGACAATGGAAGAGAACTCGAGATGAAAGATTTCTACAAAAAGAAATGGATAATACATCAAAGAACTTGAGTTGAGACAGCAGAACAAAATGGCAGAATGGAGAGAAAGCACCAACAAATTCTTAATGTTGCGAAGGTGTTCAGATTTCAAAGTGGAGTGTAAGTGAAATACTAAAGTGATTTCGTACTCATAATGGTGTACCTGATTAACAGAACTCCCTCCTAGGCCATTGAATTATGTGTGATCATTCAAGAGTATGTTGATGGCCATTGAATTTTTTTTATCCTCCTAAATATGGTAAATAGCCAGCAAACCAAGCCCTGGATTGTAAAATCACCACAATAATAGCTTGTTAACCCAGATTCTGCACCAGCTTTAGAAGTTGCCACAGATCAATCGTAGATTACAGGAACCTATAGTACATTTCTAGGGGACTCATCCTCTCGAAATTTTGTATATGATGAGCTGATGTTGCTCTCTATGTTCACTGATAGTCAATTTTTTTCTTCATATCCTGTTTAGACATCAAGCCTTTTTTTCCATTCAGAATCTTGATAAGCAGTGTTTGTCTTTCTTCAGACATAATAAATTAAAGCTTTATGAAAGAAAATTCTTTTATTCCTCATTAAGCACAAATGTTAACTGTTAATCTATAGGCATAATCTGTTTACAAGGAAAAAAATCCTTCAAAAGCCACAAATTAATGATTGTTGTCTACATTGTTCTACATGAAAACTTGAAATTGATAGGCAGTGACCAGTAGCCATAGACATAAGCAATGCTGTCTCTACATCTTTTGCTGCATTACTTTTAATCAAATTGATGACATACACCATGAAGACTGCATCACACGGCAATGTGATTGGTCCATCACTTGGTAGGCCAAACTCTTCCTTCGACATTTCAAAGAGTTCTCTGATGATAGGATTGTTGAGATATGCTATGGGGAAGATAAAACTCATTTGATCTGCCGAGTATACAACAAAATTACCTTTATCTGCCACTGATGGCATGTTGCTGTCGTTACTTTCTCTTGATGGATGCGATTCTCAGCCACTTCCTTTCCATTTTGATGAGTTTCTTTGTGCTGATCATTGTGCCTTAAGCGAGTGAAGCTTGGAAAGAAGGGTGTAATAGTTGAGTACTTGAATGTAATTATTGATCTGATGCAGAATGCAAGAAGTTGGGTGAATTATATACCATAAAGCAAGTGAGACATTTTCTGTAATGTGGGTTAGACTGTGAAGGAGTCATGGGTACAAATTCATGTGATTAGGTTTTATAGCAATTGGGACCGAAGACTGATTAGTGGTGTGTGATACTTTCTGAGTTTTGAGGACAGAAACAGAGCATCACATGATCAAATGGGAACAGTTATCTTCTTCGAGAGTTATAAATCTGTAATTCTTTAAAGAATTGGGTGAGATAGATTTTGCAAATCTAAGCATGTGTTAGACATAGCATGTTGGTGCCCAAAATCTTCTTCACCAACTAGTAGACAAGAAAAAGGTTATTGTGGTCCAAATGTGCAATATAGCTATTAATTTTCTCAGCAGAAACTATAAGGCTCACCCAATTGAGTCTCCAACTTGAATGCATTATCTGCAAGCTGTAGCCTCTGCCAGGTTCTGATTCATATTCTCATGTTTCCCAACTATCAGATTGATGGGTCCCCAGCCAATGGATAACCACATATGCCCAAGTGAAGATGAAAGATGATTCTCCATCAAATTTTTACCCACCACAGGATACAAAACCATAAATATGAATTCATTTAATACTGTGACTACCAAGAAACTGGTTCATGTCCAGTAATCACATGGTCATGTACTCATGAATCCCACCAAAGTGTGACCCACATGAACAGAAATGTCTCGCTGGTCTTGAGGTATATAACACATCCAATTCCATTGCATTCTGCATCAGATCAACAACTTCATTCCAGTGGTTAGCAAACAAGTAAATAACCTCTTTGTTTCCAAAGTTCACTTGCTCAAGACAGAATGATTAGCACAAGAAAGCTCATCAAGATGGCAAAGAAGTGGCAGAGGGTAGCATCCCTCCGAAGGAAAAGGATTTCTTTACCAAGATCTAGTAGAGATACAAACCAGAATGCGAGCAATGCACCATCAGTAGCAGATAAGGGCCATTTTGTTGTTTACACCGCTGATAAAAAGCGCTTTTCATTTCCTATCACATATCTCAACAATCCCATTCTTAGAGAACTCTTGAAAATGTCAGAGGAAGAGTTTGGATTACCAAGTGATGGACCAATCACATTGCCTTGTGATGCAATCTTTATGGAGTACATAGTTTCTTTGATCCAACAGGGTGCTGATAAAATTACAGAGAAAGCCCTCTTGATGTCAACGGCTACTAGTAGATGCTTGCACTCTTACTCTCTACATCATGGACAGAGTAGCCAACAGTTACTAGTCTGTAGTTTATGAATATAACAGGGAAAAATTTTTGTAAATGACCTACACGTTTATATTGTTAGTCAATTCACATAATGAAAAGACTAATTTATCTGATAAATGATATCATAGTACTTATTTTATGATATGAAGCACTATCATATTCTCTTTTTTAATCTACTTGCAGTTTGGTCGACAGGAGATAGCAGGCATATGCATACTATTTGTTGTACGCAGGATGCTAGTTCTTTATAAAAATCCTACTAATTCTAATTACTAGCATAGTAAATAGCAGAACACTAACAGTACACCGTCTGGTAGCAGATTAAGGCCATTTTATTATTTAGCCTGCTGATGAGAAACGCTTTGGATCCCTTAGCATATCTCAGCAACCCCTTCATTAGAAAACTCTTCAAATTGTCTTTTTGCGATACTCTCTAATCTCGCATTGAGAATATGTGACTCAAGCTGATAAAAGCTTATTAATATGATGTGTCGAAAATATGCTTTGGTCAATATTTGGAGGCATGTTGAACATACATATATACATATATATATATATATATATAAATAATAGGAAATTAAACAGCAGATTAAATAGACTATTAGCCAGTCAACATATATAGTTAATTAATTTATCAGAAAAAAGACTGGTAAACGTTTTTTTTTTTCTTCTATTATTATGTTATTATTTTAAAAAAATCATGTTATCATTTATATTATTATTTGTATGTTGATTAAATAAATTTATGAATTTTTATTTAGAAAATAATTAATTTGTTTAAGTAGTTGCCTTAATTTGAATTCAACTGGCTGCACAAATATACCTACTATTTCTTAATTATTATTATTATTTTTTTTTTTTTTTTTATGCTTCAAGTGCATCTTTAATTTATTTCTTTGACTGGACTGACCTCTTATTTCTCTGTCACCCTGCCAGTTGTGATTTAGTTATATCGGTCACCTATATAACTTTCACATCATGTTTTAACCATGGTTATAAATATATATATATATGTATACAATAAGTATGCAACATATGATTTACTTTAATTAATCTATTAAACCTAATTAATAACGCCATTTCTCTCGTAATTATCCATTTGGGTATTAAACTTTTATATTACTTATTTTGATTAATGAAAAATATATTAATATATGCTACCTACCAAGAAGGAGGAAATTTCTTATAATGCTACCAGTTTTCTCACCGACAAATGCTATGATAATTAATGAGGAAACATTAGGTCGGCATACTTGTTTTCCAAAACAAAATTAAGTGTGCATACTTAGATGAATGATGAACTTGATTACATATTACGTGAAAGATGTGTTTTTTAATATCAATAATAAAATAATTTTAAAATATATAGATGTATATTAATTTATTTTTATGATTATAACTAAAATATATGTATGTGTTATATATATATATATATATATATATATGAATATTTTATTTTTTGTCGTGATATGTAGTTGCTAACATGTACTTCTCTGTTTGAAAGATCCTGCATACCCTCAATTGTTAATGTGCTGGCTTTGCACATGCTTCTCTCCTTAAGCTTTTTAGTTAATGGGTTATGACGAAAGACGTATATAATTTACCGGAATGATTATCTTTGTATAATAACATAGATATAGCTCTCTTAAAATTAATTATAACTTATTAATTAATCTGCACTTCTAATTAATTATGCATTTTAATTAACACGAAATTATTAATTACTATTTAGTTTAACAATTAACACTTTTTTTTATTTATAACAAATTATTTTGAATGCTTGTCTTTATTTCAAAATTGTATTATGAATTTTTATTTTAAAAAATAATTAACAAGAGAGAAATTGTAAGTAAACTAAAAATAAAAATATGCTCCGCTTCCAATTTCTTGATCTTCCCATAAAAATCCTTGACCTCTGTTAATTGGTAAAATATATATTATACTGCAGACCAAATTTTATCGGTAGGTAACTGAGTCTTCTAACTGGCGGCAAATAACTCTATATCTATACAAAATAAGCCCACCATTATATGAAAAACAGAAGGCAGCTCTCTGCTATATATATATATATATATATATATATTGTATGTGAACGGTAGAATTTTCAGTATCAACCGAAGGCAGCTATCGTTTTGGTGGTAGGTGTGTTCTTTTGTTCTAATTACTATAATTTAATAGTAAGAACTGAGACTAATTAACTAATTAATTATCTATATGGCAATATTATATGCATATATTATATTAATATATTACGTAGACACCAACTTGCATTATATTTTTGCATGCATATATATATGGCCTATCAATACACACACCAAAACCACAGTGGGCATGTACAATTTGTGTGTAGGAGGAGGAAGAGCTAGAACTTGTTCAATGTAATTTTTATTTATCAAACTACACACACATATATATAGAGAAAGAAATGGGCAACGATGATATAAGCTCTGCTCCCGTAACACCAAGTAGACCACCAATATCTGCTCCGCCATCTCAGCTTCATTCTCCATCTCTTTCTCGCTCGCCACTCCTCTCTGCCGCGGATCACGTGGACGGCACCGACATAGCCAAGGCCTCGAAGAGCTCGACCCCGAGAATTCGAACACCGCGGTTTATTAGTCCACTAGGAACTCCTATTAGGAAAGCTCTACAGCTCACCAAGCTTGACCCTCAAGATGCTTGGCTCCCCATCACTGAATCTAGAAATGGAAACGCTTACTACGCTGCGTTTCATACTCTTTGCTCCGGAATTGGAATCCAAGCCCTTGTTCTTCCCGTTGCCTTCACTATTCTTGGGTGGTAAGTTTTTCCTTTGGATATTATTTAATTAATTAGTAATTAACACTGTTAAATTAGTTTTTGGTTGGATTAAACATTTTATATATATATATATATGCAGGACATGGGGAATTATAAACTTGAGTGTGGCATTTATATGGCAGCTTTACACCCTGTATCTGCTGGTCCAACTCCATGAATCCCCTGAAACTGGCATCCGTTACAGCAGATATCTTCAACTCTGCGTTGCAACTTTCGGTAATATCTAATTAATTATATCATTAATTATTGACATATAGATATAATTAATTATTATTTCAGCTAAGATTCTTAATCCACGAATCAAACATGACCTTAATTAAGTCTAATAGTTTACTAATTCTTGAAAAATATACTTTTGGTTGCTTTTAAACTTAGACTTCATTAATTTTGACTTTCATAATTAAAATGTTTTTTGGAAGACTAAATTAATGAACATGTTTTTTTAGACAATAATGGGGAATAAGGCTTATAATCTAATATGAATTTAGACAAAGAACTGTACGTCATTTGAACAGAGGCTTTTAATGGTTTGATTAGTGTGTCAAAAATAATTTTTTCTTTTTAAAGAATGTAATTTATTGGACTGAATTTTTAATGAAGAAAAAATTAGAATTGAAGTTGACCACGTACCATTTAGCTAATTTTAATTACTTAATAGAATTGGTAAATACCTTATATAAAATTGTAAGTGTATATATCTGTTAATAAAAAAAATTATTGAGTATATAAGTATTCAACTCAATTGGATAATTTCATCTAGACAACGTAGATATGTGCATGAAATCGGAACTGTAAACTTACAATAAAACGACGGCGTTTCTCTATTACGCTCTAATAGCCATTACAGACAACGGTGTAATTAATAATAACTAAATTAATTAAACAAACTATGGATTAACTATTAATTAAATTTTGGTCAGGTGAAAGACTAACAAAATGGCTAGCTCTCTGCCCCATATTGGACCTGTCAGCCGGCACCTGCGTAGCGCTCCTCATCATCGGAGGATCAACCTCCAAGATTTTCTACCAAACAGTGTGTGGGTCCCACATCTCGTGCATGAGCACCCCTTTGACCACCGTCCAGTGGTTCGCGGTCTTCACCAGCGCCGCCGTCATCCTCTCTCAACTCCCTAACTTGAACTCCATCGCCGGAGTCTCTCTCCTCGGCGCCGTTACTGCCGTCGGTTACTGCACGCTTATATGGGTGGTGTCCGTGCTGGAAGGCAGGTTGCCTGGCGTTTCCTACAATCCAATTCGAGACAGTTCCCCAGTCGTTAGAATCTTTGATGTCCTTAACGCAATTGGGATTATCGCTTTCGCCTTTAGAGGCCATAATCTTACACTTGAAATACAGGTAATTATCATGTTGTTAACACGTATTTTTTTTTATCTCAGATTTTTTTATAAGTATACTATAAACTATTTTAGATTCTAAATTAGTTGACAAATTTTTTAAATATATTTTATTCATTACATGCATAAAATTTTAAATAAATTAATTTTTCGTATATTTAAATAAGGAGTTAAAAGAACAATTGAAGGGGACTATTGACTCCTTTCATTAAAAATTATCTGTACATCTGAAAATCGGGCACAAAATCTTTTTTGTCGTGACTCATAAGCCGAATATATTGAACGTGTTTAATTGAAAATCAAAGATCCCTTTTACACATTGTACTTCGTGCAAAAATTACATATATATATATATGTGTGTATATGTATGTATGTATGTATGTATAATATTTGAATTAAAATAGAAATATTTAAATAATCTCAAAGTAAACACAAAGAAATTATAATTTAATTTGATAAATATTGTTGGGTGCAGGCAACCATGCCATCAGACGAGAAGCATCCCTCACGAGTGCCAATGTGGAGGGGTGTTAAATTTGCCTACTTAGTAGTCGCTCTGTGCTTATTTCCTCTGGCAATTGGGGGTTATTGGGCATACGGCCAAAAGGTAATTTAATTAATTAACTAATTAAAATCTGAATTCACATAATTCATTAACTCTAAAATATTATATAATTAAAAAATATAGATATTGATCCCTATATCATTCTACAAAACAGATACCAGAAAATGGAGGTATGTTAACAGCGTTGTACACATTTCACGGCCACGATACCTCCCGGTTTATCTTAGCATTAACAAGTTTATTCATCATAATTAACGCTGTGAGCTCGTTTCAAATATACGGCATGCCAATATTCGACATAATGGAATCCCATTACACACGAAGGATGAAGAAAGCATGTCCGTGGTGGTTACGGGCACTATCAAGGGGGGTGTTCGGGTTCGGGTGCTTCTTCGTGGCGGTAGCAATTCCGTTCTTAGGAAGCCTAGCAGGTCTGGTGGGAGGACTTGCATTACCAGTGACATTGGCTTTCCCATGTTTTATGTGGTTGAAGATTAAGAAGCCTAAGATGTTTAGCTCAATGTGGTGGATAAATTGGGTTTTAGGCCTTTTGGGTATGACGCTGAGTTGGATTTTGGTTGCTGCTGGGACTTATGTCATAATTCATACTGGGATTAAAATAAGCTTCTTTAATCCTCAGTAATAGTCGTATAAATAGATATAGTCGCTTTTGAAAAACAATTAATTATATAATCTATTGTTTCAGAAAAAAAAAAAAAAAATGTATTTTAGTGTTTAATTATGTCAGCAAGTAATTTGATTTTATTCTATTTTTAAGTTTTTGTTGGCAATTTGTCTCCTTTTTTAGGTGTTAATTCTTAGGCTGACTGATTGTTAATTAATTATAATTATAATAATGATCGTATTTATTTTAAGTTCTGAAGAACTATATAATATGATTCCAATTATTGTCACATCATGTATACACATATTGCCACCATGAATACGCAGGCCAAATCCAGTGAGTCGAAGAGCTACCCTGCATAGAAATTTATTTTATTATTGAAAGAAAATAATATATATAATAATTAAAAAAATTGCGAACTTTAATTAAAATATTTTAAGAATTACATTAAAAATATTGACGCAGTCAGCAGGCCGTGTCAGAGGCTTTTCCCTCTCTACCAATTTAGCCCAAACCAGACCAAGCCATTTTTCGACTATAGGCTCCAAGATTTCATTTGAGGTTAAGAGAGTTCATAGAAATTAACTAATTTAGATCAATTTTTAATTTTTATCAGAATAAATTAAAAGCATGTTATAGTATATATTCTAGGAATTTAACAAATTTAAAAACTGAATATAAATAAAACTGACATACTCATATCAAATCAAATAAATCTAAATCTGAATCAGAATCATACCTGAATCCATAATGAAAAAAAAAAACAGCACTTCCTGCAATTAATCTTTTAAATTATCGCGTAATTCTTTAGAGTTCTTTCAGTCTCTCTATTTTTGATAATATGATATTATGATAGAAAAATCATACATGTAATTTGGGGACCATAACTGCATATTTATAGTTTTAATTTTTATTATTTCTAATTTACTCTATCACAAATTATAAATATAAAGATCCGGAACTTAAAAGACAATAAAGTCATGAATTAAATGCGGAAGTTAAATAATAGAATTTATTATTTATATTCCTCACACAATAATTTAAAATGTTCAATAGGGTTACGAGAATGTTTTTTCTAAAAGAAATTACAAAAATAAACAAAAAGTCAATAACTGAGTATTCTAAAACGACCTTCATTAACTTTTGAAGGAAATCCGGATGGTAAACTATTCACAACCCTCTTGATCTGAAATAATTAATAAAAATGTGAGTTACACTAACCCAGTAAGAATATCACACAACTCACCGATACATAAACTGAATGTTGGTAAAAATCATAAAAACAACCAATGGAGTTTTTAATTTAAATAAATTCATTTATCATAAGGAAAACTATTTATTATATATATTTACCGTTGCGAGATTTTCAAAATTGACCTATAGAGACAATAACTCAAATATTATTGCAACCTCATATTCAAGTGAACAACAACAATAACTTTCCATTTTTATTTGTCTACTGGTATACTTGGAAGCCCATAGGGATGTCCCACTACGCGTGAACCTGTATCCAATATTGTCAACAGACCAACCGTCTCCATACCCCGTCCAGTATGAGCGTCAAAATATCATCCCTCAATATCTCATCCGATATAAGGGTAAATCGCCCCGTCACCATACCTCGTCCGGTATGAACGCCAAAAATACTATTTTTTGATACCCCGTCCGGTATGAGGCAACATTCACAGTATGGTTCTCTATATACCCGGTTCGTCCACCATCTTTCAGAATATCTAGTAAAGCTATTATTTATTAATTCACATGACCAAACAATTTTTCATTTACATATTAATTATCAATTTCACAAATCAACCATAAATCACACAAGACAAGCAATATATATATCAAATAAGCAC